CAATTACGAACAAAACAATTGCCAAATTTCTGAGCAAACGTCATTTAATTAAATTCTCCGTTTATCCTCTTAAGCATATAATGATGGATAATGTTTGGTGAATTCAACTTGTCAACTTTTGACAATTGTTATATGGAATTAGGCATTATGATAAAGCATCACATGCCTTGTGACCACACCTAAAAGGGTTTAGCTGAATCTCTAAATTTAAATTACTTGCTAAACCATTATTTTTCAAAATTCCAATGTGCCGGATACTTGGTGGAGAAATGCAATATTTATGCTAAAAATTTCGGCACAATGCATATCCTTATTCCCCCTTACATCTAATACGTGGTTTTCAAACAAACATTTCCCAAATCTGCGTTTCTATTCATATGAATGCAGCCCAATCTATTACATGACCACCATAGAGTATCCATCTAAACCTCCATCTATTGTCTCCAATATTTAAAGCCCCTGAGAGAGACGCGATGGATACGCTGACTGCATGAAGATCGGTTCACGGCATTAGGGGGAGATATGATCAAAATTGAAATAGAATGCCGAGAAATTTCATGAAATGATCTTCAAAAATCAAATCCACGTACCAATTAGACTGAACTGGAAGTTCAGAAAGAAATCAAACATATCTGTCAAATAATCTTTTTCATAAAAAGAGTGACTAGGTCCCATACATATTCCCCAAAATTGGACCATATATATCTATCAATACTCCTTGACGCCAGAAGCGCGGGAGATTCATTGGGATAGAAAAATAAAGAATCAACTAGATCTAGTAAAGAATTTATGTCACTCTTGAAAATCTTAGAGCTCTTGAAAATCTTAAAAAAAGTTATATCTTTATAACGATCGTCCAGAAGACGAGAAAACCCAGTAAATTTATAAGGTGCACCAAATATTCATAATACTGGGTTGCGGAACAACCAGATATAAATATCCATGGGAAATGGCTATAATCTGGTTAACTTCGAAAACTACTTCTATATATATGGGAGAGATTCTTAAAAATATTGTAAGTTGTCGACAACACAGTTGCCTTCAAATTGCTCATATTATATGACAATCTGGATCCAGAACTAGGTGCCAGAAGCGCCTAGGTTGATTAATATATAAAGAGAGCAATTAAAGGCATATACAGCTCAACTCGCTAATATATTCCTTTTGTACACCATTGAAGTATTAACCCTGTAGGTTACAAATGGTGTTTGTATGAAGGAAAACAAAAATGATAAGGTGGTGAGATATAAAGCGAGTCTGTAGCCTAAGGGTTCACGCAGAAACCCAGAATCAAGTATACTTTCCCATGATAAATATTATTAAAAGTTCCGCTACATGATTGGCAGAATAATTCTAGATATGCAGCTTATTAAAGTCATAGAAATTATGGGTCATTAGACACTAATGTTTATCTGAAAATCCTTGATGGATTTATAATTCTCAAAAATGAAAGAAAGTAAATATCACAACATGTTTGTTGTTGAAGTACAAATCCTTTACTTTACTTGAAATAGTAAAGCAATTGATTGAGTAATTTCCTCTTAAAATAAGGAAATTATAGAAATAAATATGTACCATTGGTACTTATTAAGGGGCTTATTTATAAAATAAAGGAGATGGAAAATCAAGTATTATATCGACCTGTAGATCGAGCATTTCCTTAAAAGGAATTTCACATACTATTTAGTCTATGTACAAATAATCTCCCGAAGTAGATAAAAGACCTAAAAGGATAATTTAGGACCAGAAGTCCGCTGCTTCAAAACATCATTTTTTTGAATACCTTTTCTTTAAGACATAAAATTCCCAAATTCACATCTTATTTTTGTAATTTGTAAAGAGTGATTTGGTGATTCTCCTAGAAAGAAAAGGAAATGATGTTAAATAATATCCTTAAGGTATAAAATACATCTTTCGAGAAGTCATTTGAATATTGACATTATGTTAAACGCCATGACTTGGATTGATATATTATAAATCAATTTAAGCTTTAAGCATCTTAAAGCCTAAGGGATAATACTTGTTCTTGTAGATGTATTTTGTATATTATCATCTCGTTATTACTTTCTCGCTTTGTCATAGCGACTGTTAAGATATGAGATGAAATAAGGAATAGCAAATCAAGGTACAAATATTCATATTGATGCTTTTGACATGAAGTCATCATACTCCGGACAAATAAAAATGTATATAGTTTTTTATGATATAAAATACCTTGATCCACATGAACTCCAGAAGAGTGATAAAATATTTGTCCAGAAGATTTGCTCCAATGACAAGTTAGCAAATCTATACCTACAAAATATCTATGAGAAATCCCTGATGGATTTATAATTTTCGAATGAGGATTTATTTAGTATTATTAAGTGCCATTATTTACTCTTTAAAGAGTTGCGAATGGGGTTATTATCCTCATGTAGAAGGAATAATATGTACCATTATGTGCTCAATAAAGAGTTGATAATGGACTTATTTATTATCTCAGTCAATATTGATGGTGTAAACATCAATGAAATATATAAAGAGCTTGATGATGTCAGTTCATGTTTAAAGACTGAGATCGATTTTTGAAATAAAAAGCTTGTGAAAGCTATAAGTATTATCTCGACTTGAAGATCGAGTTTTTCCTTGAAGAATTTTTATACACCAGTCAGTCTACATCTAAAAATGCTTTTCACATGTCTATATGCATAAGTGTCATGTTTTTATCAAACTAAAGGTTGCCTAGTAATCTCTTGAAGCAGATAAGGAACCATTTGGACTCGAAGTCCCTTACTTCATTATCGTTGGAGCACCATTTTAGAACCAGAAGTTCCATAATCGCAACATGCATGACATTTGCGATGAAGTTGCTAGCAAAATCTAGTGCTCCTCCTACAATGAAGTACTTGAATAATGATTAAAATATCCTCTGGTATCTTTAAGATACAAAGACATGATATTTATGTAAGAAACTGTGATACGGTTGTAATAGGCTACTTGGGTACTGGCTATTTTGTTTGATCCCCGTAATGCCAAGTCCAAACTGGTTATACAGTGAATTTCCCTAAATGATCAAAATGAGGACAATAACACTTGTGTTTCACAAATGTTATATGAGCTCTAGAAGAGCCATAAGATTATTGTACACTACTACTCTAGAGACAATCCAGAAGATTTGTCCAATCCATCTCTTCAAATTTTGAAATATATGTAGAACTTGAAGATTGTTATCTTCAGGGAGAGACGAGAAATACATTTACTTGAATCAATCCGGAAGATTGAACGTAAGATCCTGAAGATTAAGTCATAAAAGACTAACAATTGCGCACTATTTGCAACGTATAAATACATAAATATCATGTACTCTTTTCCTCACTAGTTTTCTCCCATTGGGTTTTCTAGTGTGGTTTTTAACGAGACATGAGTATGATATAGTAATGCCTATGAGGAAAAGTTGCAATATAATTGCTTAAATGGACAAACTCCAAAATCCTGAAGATTATGCGGTTTGTGCCCAGAAGGCTTATGGTTGTACTCTTTTTCCCTTAACTAAGTTTTTCCCACGGGGTTTTCTTAAGTTAAGGTTTTTAATGAGGCGACCAAATACAATATATGTTTTTACATATATCATGTACTCTTTTCTTCAACTAGGTTTTTTCCATGTGGTTTTCCTAGTGAAGTTTCGAATGAGGCATGGATATATTTTCTATTGTACTCTTTTCTTGTCTAGGTTTTTCCCACCGGGTTTTCCTAACAAGTTTTTAACGAGGCAAGGTCGTGGCCAAATAATGTCCAAGGGGGAGTGTTATAAATATATATACTTAGTGGACATTATTATGTAACGGACATATTTATGTCCTCATTATGTTTACCGTTACAATTATCTTATATATATTCCCATGTACAATGTAAGTGATGTTGATGAATGAGATCATTCCCCTTTTCACTTTTGTCTTATCTCTTTCTTCCTGCAAAGTTCATCGGTTAGAGCTAATGGCCAACGGGCACAAACAAACAACATTACAACAATTATTTTAAATTTTGTATAGCAACCTAAAACAATTGAGATGAAAATCCCCGATTTGGTATTACCTAATTAAAGAATCTAAGGGTCCTTCAATTCACTAAGAATACAAGTCAAGAATCACATATATTATTTCTCCAAGAAGAAAATTATTTACGTTCATACCACGATCGAATTTTGAATGTTCAAAAACTCTATAAAGAAGACCCAAAAAGTGATTTTCTCCATAAAAGTTGGCCTAGCTATTCTGTTTTGCCTCTTTTGACCAATAGTCGAAATGAGCGAGAGGAAATTTTGCATAATCAGATGGAGTTTTACTATATATATTTTTAAATTTTATTTTATTATTTTTACTTTTTGATTTGACAAATAAGGATGGACTATTTTTATTATATGGGTTATCAAAAAAGTTTTCATATCAAGAATTTGAGAGTAGAGTAAAAGTTGAGAGTCGAAATTGAGAGTCTACATAGTATTTGTTGAAAAATTAGTTATTTTTTACTTTTAAAGTGGTCATTTTGTGGTATGATTTTCTGTGCAGTTCACTTAGATTTGAGTCGAGTTAAAGTAGATTAAGATTATATTCTCCTAAGTATGAGGTTTAATTTGATATATTATATGCACAAAATGAATAATGAGTGAATGAGAAATTGATTTCTCAAACTATGCCCACTTGAATAGGGAAAAATGGAGCTGAGAAGAAGCATTTGTCCCACATGAGAAAATGGATGTAAGTTTGCACTAAGTATATATACAATTCTCAATTTAAAGAGAATTTGAATTGTATAACATTGAGGCTCTCTCATGTCCAATTAAATTGCACTTAAATTAAATTGTAAATGTCGTGACTATATATGTGCAGTTTCCTAGTAATCCAAAAAAAAAAAAAAACTAAGAAAAAATAAACTAACACTAACTATTAAAATGTTAAGACTTCATTAAGTAAAAATAAGAAGTAACACCAAAATACACATTTCCTCCAAAAAAAAAAAAAAAAAAAAAAAAAAAAACACCAAAATACACATAGAAAACCAAGAACAAAGAAACAATTATATGAAAACTTGTAGAAATCATAGTTCCAAGACAGAAAATTGTTAACGTTTTTCTTTCTTAGCTTCCTCCCTCTTCTTGTTTTAAACAACGTAACGATGTCAAGTACTATACAACTTCAATTCCTCGATCAGATCAGTATTCCCAACACTCGTACAACTTAATATCAACGCGAAGTCTGAAGTAAACTTCACCCTCAAAAGCATCAGTGCTCAAAGTGGCCATTCCTCTGGTCATGAAGAAATCCCCAGTGCCACCAATGACCGAAATGTCCCTAGTCTTATTCATCAAAGGGTCAGCTCCGGCGAAGTTAATGCTGCCTTTATGTTCAGTCGAGTTGAAGACGAAGGAAAACCCTAGCCACGCCGTGAAGATATCCTTCTTGTCGTAGAGATAGAAGCCTTGAGCCCGCCCCACAGGCGTCGAATGTAGGTTGTTGTCCAAGGTAATAGGGTCGTCAAACACGACCATGTTTCCAAAGTGGTTTTGGCCGGCCAAGATTGTGCGGTTGCCCCAGGCGGGTGACCCCATAATGGCGGCAGTGGCATTGTGGGAATTATGGCCGTTGAAGATTATATCGTGGAAGTAGAAGGATAGGGTTTTGCATGGAGTTTTAGCCCTCCTCAAAGAATGGTGATGCCTGTGTGGGGAAGCATTAATGGAGTGGGCAAGGAAGAGGGAGAGAAGGGTGAGAATGAAGAATTGTCTTGATGCCATTATCATTGTTGAATGTGTGATAATGAGGTTGTTGCTGCAGTGTGTTTATATAGATGTTTTGTTTTAATGGGATTGAATATTTAAGTGGAATATAACTATATAAGTGGTCCTTAATGATGCTTGACTTTAAAGGCTTGTTACTGTTAGATGATGCATGCACATTCTATTTGTAGCAGTTCGATCTGTTTGTATGTTTTGGTCTGGATGGTAGCTTCAAGTATAAGATTTAGGTAATTATTAGATGCATTGGTCATAGGTGGTGTACGTTTTTAATTTCGTCAACTCTCAATTAGGTTTCATTATATTTGAACACAATTCTTCTAATAGCTAGCAACTACAATAGTGAGTTTTTGTGAGATCGTATCGGCATCACTAACGGGCGCGCGTGCAGCACAAAGAGTCATAGTCAAGTCAGTTAATATCACCTATATCACCTCCACTGAAGTTTGAACTCATAAACTCTCATTTTGAAAGAGCAACTTGATGACACTGTACCACAATGTCCTTGGCCTCGTTCTCCCATTTGAAAACATTAAATCTAACAAAAAAAAATTAGACCATTATTAGCCTGGAAAGTCAAATGTTAGATGCCTATAAAAAATGAAAATGTTAGCTGAGAACTTGTTAATAATGAAGATAAATCTACCAAGAGTGGTAGATGTGCAAGAGCAAATTAAAAATGTTAATATGAGTTAATTATTGAGCACAAAAAGAAAATGGTTATAATTGGTGGGGACAAACCAACCACATCTATACTAACTAAATCCCCCATATATTGGATTAGTAACACAACACCTAATCGGCTAATCCACTTTCATAGCGATTGAAATTTAATTGATTTGTTGAGGAAATGATTTATCATGATAGTGACATGACTTTCGTGCTATAATTTTTTTTAAATAGTAAATTCTGTTCTATATAATAAAATTCGATAATGTATTAATTTAAATTAATTAATTTATGATAATTCGAATTAATTTATAAGTATTGGAAGATTTATTATTATTTTTTTTTTTATCATCACCATTTGATGAAAACAATAATTTTGAAAAGAATTTATTATTGAACAATCCAATTTACAAGATACAGGAATATATGTATTTATAAGGGTGCGAACCGTCCTACTCAGGACATGAATGATAAGATAGATTTACAGTAATACAAAGAGAGAGAGGGAGCAGGAATTAATTAGTACTCTATTTTACTCTTATTAAATTATATATATATAAATAATAATTTAGTAGTTACAACAAAAAATAATACATATGCATTTCTTTAATTTAGAATTATGTGTCCACAATGCCTTTATTCAAAAAAAATAAAATTAATTATTCATTATCAATAAATTAAATAAGAGAAATAATTTTATTAGTTATATTGTCTTTATTTTTCTTCAATATAAAAATTCTTTATATTCAAATTTATTAATTGATTATCTTTACAATGTCTTTATTCAGTGAAAAAAAAATTATTAATTATTAATAAATTAATTAAAAGAAATATTTTCATTAGTTATATTGTCTTTATTTTTCTCAAATGTAAAAATTTTTACATTCAAATTCATCAATTGATTATATTCACTACATTATCTATTATCTTTTTTGTGCACTATTTTTCTAATTAAATATCAAAGTTATAATACAAAATAATGCTATATATTTATTTACCAAGTATTTTATTAATACCATGAAAAAATTTAAAAAATATAATTAATAAAGCCAACCATATTAACTACTTTGAGAGATTTTGCGACAAAGAGAGTATTTAAATCACACAACAAATTGGAGTGAGAACTACCTCGCAATGTCCTTGTTTGACAATCAGCAGTTAGCGGTTAGCGTTAGCGGATTTGACCAGCGAATTTATTTAATTATTAACATTGGGTAGAAAAAATGACCGCCAAATTATTAAATCAAATGAATGGTTCATATTGTTCAGGTTTTAATTTTTTTCTTTTAAGATTTTCTAATTTATCCTTAATTATATGATTATCCATTTAACTTTTATGTTAATTCACCGTTAGTCTAATTATAATATTAAAGTCTAATATAGAATTATAACTACATCATTAATCTAATTCTAATATTAAAGTCTTAATAGACCTTAACCACAAATCCTAATGTCGGAATCTCCTCAAACAATATTAGTATATATTTAATATTTTATGCCCTAATTTTTATTTGTTCTTCCTTATGTCCCGTATTTGGTTTCAACCATACCTATACAATTATTTTATTGACAATTATAATCAATCTTGACTATATTATCTTGCATTTGTAAACTTAGAATTACCTATTTAACCCGCACGGGTTTAGCTCAATGGTTTAGTGGGTAGTATTTGGGAGAAGGGACCAAGGTTTGAACCTCGGCGGCAGCAGTGCGGGAATTATGTCCAAAGTGGGCAGATTTCTTGTGCGTATCAGCATTTGGCCCTGTCTGCTGAACCATTGAGTCACCGTGATTTACAACTTCCCACAATGCTCTGTCGGGTCGGGGTGTGGGGGGCCCTTGGGGTTGGGGACTCAACCTTTGGGCTTTGGGAGAAGAATTACCTATTTAAATACACAAATTCAACCTTCAATTATCTATGCATGAACAATTTCAATATAATCCTGCCTTAATATACTTTAAAGTACTTATTTAAAAAAAAAAAGCATTGGGCATTATCCCAATCGCGCAATACGCGTAAAAAACTAGTATGTATTTATAAGGGTGCGAACCGTCCTACTCAGGACATGAATGATAAAAGATAGATTTACAGTAATACAAAGAGAGAGAGGGAGCAGGAATTCTAGTGTAACTAGAATACAAAGTCCTAATATACTCCTTAACCTTAAGGTTCTCTAAAGAGAACATTAAGCTTGCCCCTTAGTTCATTAAACCTTACTGTGGTAAGTGGCTCAGCGAAGATGTCTGCCAGTTGATCTTTTATGGAGATGTATTCACACAAATAGGTAACACCAAGATTGTCACACTAAAGTTTTGGTGGTTTTTAAATAGTGAAACTAATTAAGTTCTCAAATTAAAACAACTAACCATGCTACCTCTGCTAATACATCTATTATAGCTTTGTATTCCGCTTCTCTTGAGAATCTAGCCACTGTCATTTGTTTGTGACATGCCCACGAAATTAGATTTTTACCAATAAAAATAGCAAAACCACTTGTGAATTTGCAATCATCAGGACATCCCGCCCAATCAAAGTCTAAAATGCATGAATGTCATATGAGTATGATTTTGTAAAATGTAGCCCGAAGTTAAGAGTAGCTTTGACATAACTTAGAACACGCTTTGAGGCTAACACAGTGGTCATTGGTTGGAGATTGCATAAATTGATAGAGTTTGTTAAAGATATAGCAGAGATATGGACAAGTGATAGTTAGATATTGAAGTGCCCCAACTATGTTGCGGTACTGTATGGGATTGTCATATGGTTGTGATGAGCTTGTTGCACTTAGCTTGTTGGCTTGCAGTGTTCCATTCCAGATCTTTTAAGTATTTCTAGTATGTACCTTCGTTGTGATAGGATCGTCGCCCCCTTGTTGTGAACTTTCTCGATTCTCAGGACGAAGCTTGGAGGTCCCATATCTTGAATTTTAAAATTTTCAGCTAGTCTATTTGTTATGAAAGCCAAGAGACTTTCATTGTTGCTAATTATTGGTATGTCATCAACATAGACAAGTAAATAAATTTGAGCATTACTAGTAGAATAGATAAACAATGAAACATCTATTTTCGAAGCCTTAAAGCCAATCAAGAGTAGGCAATCATGAAGACGTTTGAACCATACACGTGGTGCATGCTTCAAACCATATATATTTTTTCAGTTTGCAAACATGACTAGGAAAGTTGGTGTCAATGTATCCTGGTGGTTGCTTCATATAAACATTCTCACTTAAACAACTATTAAGGAAGGCATTGTGAACACCAAGTTGTCTGATAGACCAATCTTTAGTTATAGCAAGAGATAAGAGAAGTCTTACTAAAAGTTTCAAAATAATCTTTTCCTTCAAACCTGATGGAATCCTTTTACAACAAGTCTGACTTTATATCTTTTAATTGTCCGATCAGCTTTTCTTTTTATTCAGAATACCCATTTGCATCCAATGTCATTTATATCTTAGTTTGTTCATGTGGAACCAGTATCTAGGTGTTGTTGTGTAAAAGAGCATTGAATTCTTTGTCCATTGTTGTTCGCCATTCGGGGCAGTTTACGGTTTGAGAGTGACATGTGGGTTCGAAGTCATCTATATAAGCAATTAGAGCTTTACTACCTGTGGAGTCACGAGCATGTGACAGAGGGCCATAAGATGTGTACGTTTAGTCAGGGGTGTTGGTCGATGTCACTCGGGCTTGGAAGGAATAACTGGAGTAGGTTTGGGGTCAAAATCCGCCAGGTCATCTGTGTCCTTAGCATGTCACGATTGTGTACCACTCTGGAATGGTGACACAGATGGTAGGATACTAGACTCCACTCTCCAAGCCACCGCCCAACAAATACCAAAAAAAAAAAAAAAAAAAAAAAAAAAAAAAAAAAACACAAAACAAAAAAGCAAAAACAAAAACAAAAACAAAATGTGCACATTTTATATAAGCGTATAACATATTAAAAAGTGATTTTTTTGTAAAAGAATGTAAAATCACTTTTTTTAATCAATTGAACTACCACCCATAAGTATCTAAGAGCATCCCAACAACTCATTTTTGAAGAATTTTTTTTCTACATTTGTGTGAGATGGAAAGGTGAGAAGAAGTTTTTTTTTTTTTTTGAAAATAGGTGAGAAGAAGTTAAATTTACTGAGATGAGGATTTTTTTTGGATTCCACGAAGAAAAATTTTTGCTTCCACCACCCCCTTCCTATTTGACGAAAATACGTGACAATTTACCCAAACTATATTGGTGACGGTTTTACCTATTGCATAATCCAATATGGTAAATTTTTTTATTTGATAAGTTTCTCATTAATTAACTAATTTCTTCGAAGTTATTATTTAAAGATATCATGTAATAATTAAATATAAAG